GTTTTCGTCGACGAGAAAATGCGCTCTCTGTCACTCACTGCAGTGAGTACTGAGTTATATTTTTTTTAATTTTTTTGTTCAATAATATTTTTAATATGTTGTTGTTTGTTTGTTATTTGATTTTAATATTTTTTCTGAAAATTTTTAGTTTTTACTTTTATTGACAGGAGAGAGCTGAAAGGTGCCTAAAAAAACTACGGTATTGTTGCTGAAATGTTTTCGCAGAAAATCATTATAATTGGGAAAACCTTCAAAACCCGAACAGTTTCTTCGAAGCCAAGTTCTTTGACCATCATCATTTGTGATTTTCAGTGAACGTATGCTGCGAGGACCTCTTTTTATAAATATTTTAATATTTATAAAAACGGTCGCATCATAACGGAATATTTATAATACGGGTGTCGCATTAGCAGGTGTAATAGTTAATGTCATACCGATGTCGCATCAACTGGTGTAATTCTTAGTCAAAACGTCCATTCCTAGTTTGATTTTGTCAAGATTCTTCTTTGTACAAAGCCAGAGCAGACACGCCACTCAATCCTTTATTTATGCAATGAAGTAAAAAAAAGTTTTTTAAATTGCAAGAAACACGTTTCTGGTGCCAGGGCTGCCGAGAAGAAGGAAGCCGAGGCCGCGCAGGTCGCCGCCGAAGAATCTAAAGCGACGCAAGAGCAAGCGACCGCCGCCGAACCTCCGCCAGTCTCTCAGGTCTCATATTGATGAAATATATTGTAAACAAATTTAATAACAATAGATATTTATTGCGAGGTCTCATATTGATGAAATATATTGTAAACTAACTTAATAACCTTATATATTTATCGCGCATCGCATAATTAATTGACGACAGTGTTAAAATTTTCTGGGTTTTCGTATTACTGAGTTGTCGCCTCATGAGTCATAGGCCAATTTTTTGCGTTAATAATTTTATTAGAGGAATATCATTGTTCAAAAATGATTGCTCATTGCTATTATGAACTAAACTAACCCAACAAGAGTGACGAGTCTCGTCCTCTTCGATAACCGGACATTGACTCGTCATTCTTGCGTCTTCTTCGATAACTGGACATTGATTTTCATATTTTATTTACACGCCGCAATTGGACCACACCAGTCACTTCCCTCAGCCGTGCCCTGTAATCCTCCCCTCATGCCCCCTGAACTGATTGATTCAACCTCTGCCGCCTCCTTACCTTACACTCCTCAACTCTCCTCCCAAGCCACGATTTCAGCGAGCAGCGCAGAGGCTTACCCTACTTCCTCTCTGGGATTGTCTGTCTCTGTCCCCTCTGTCGACCCTCTTATGCCATCAAGCCTACCCACCACCTCGCTCATCCCGTCGGTCCCTTCCGTGCCATCGTCAAACGTCCAACCCGCATATTCCATCCCCTTGCATGTTTCTTCATCATCATCATCATTTAACGCTTCTTCCACTCCACCCATCCTCGTGGTTTCTTCTTCGTCATCTAACGCTCCTTCTTCTTCGCCCATACTTGTCGTTTCCACTTCTCCGTCATCAGAAATTCCATCAACATCGCCCATCCTCGAGGTTCCTTCGTCCCTATCAGTTGACGTCCCGCTTTCCCAACAAAGCGTTCCCCTTGACAAGCCCCCTTCGCGCCCTTCCCCATTACCGTCTCTCCACACAGCTTCCCCTTTTTTGTCCCCACCCTCCGATGTGCCTATCCCCACTACCCCAACCATCCATGCCTTCATGCCATCCACGTCTCCTCCTCCATTACTCCTGCTTGCTGCGGCTTGTCTATCAGCCGCTGATAAAAACAAAAACAAACAACAACGAAAACGAAAAGATTGTAAAAGAAAATCTATTTTCTCCTCATCTGCTTTACACGTCATGGTGAAGGAGTTCAGAGTGAGTAACTGCACCAATCTAATTATTTACTTTACGGTGACGCCTTTAAAGTTTTACACGATAATATCAAATTTGCTGGGATCAACTGACAAACTGGGATGGTACGTCAATTTGACATTTGATCTAAGGTTTGCTCTGTCAACTATAACATTCCAACTGGCGGTTGGTACACCAACTTGACAGTTTAACTATGGGTGTCTACGTCAACTTGACAGTTGATCTTGTTAGTGCGTCAACTTGACAGTTAAACTGGTTGTCGCCAGGTTGACTTCAGTGACTACATGCGTCGGGTCATGAGCTTCATGGCACGGAACTTCTACAACCTCAAGTACATGGCGCTTGTGCTGGCATTCTGCATCAACTTCTTGCTTCTTTTCTACAAGGTACGCCACATTCATTTAGTAATAAGCATGGCATCTATCGGATGAAAAAGCCGAAAAGGGTATAGTGGAGTTATTTCCTTTTGAAAAAATTGTATTCATTTTTATTTTCTAGACTTCCCGTTTTGTT